CGGGCCTCCTTCCCAGCCGCAGTCGCGGGGCTCAGAGGCTGCGAACGCCCCGGGAGCCAGGCGCGCCCGACTCCGGGAGGGACCGCGAGGGGAGACGCGGCCCGCCCGACAGAGGACGCGACCTGCCTGGGTCGCGGGTTACCGGTGCCCCTTTCGGGGCCCGCCTTCGGTCCTGGGAAGCGGCTCAGAACCCGCAGGTGAGGGCTGCGCGGCGGGTTCAGCTCCCAGTCCCAGAGGAATCGCGCGGCCATTTTCCCAGGCAGCTGGGGCTCCCTCCACGTGGCACCTCCTTCGAGGCCGCACTGACGGGGACGAAAGGGGGCGCTGTCCAACCGCCAGGGTCGGGGAAGACCTTGAGGCTCTCATTTTTCTAAAGTCTCTTCTTCAATTGCAGGGAGGAGGCGTGGGGCACTTGTGTGAAAGAAAGGACTTTTTGTCCCTTTCCACGGAAGTTTCCAGAAGGCACCATTTCTTCTCCCGGTGGCTTCACCCACTGCCCCGCCCCTCCCCCCCACACACACACACACAAGTTCCCCCGAATTTGTTTCTCCCCAGGTTGCAGAGCCCTGAGCTGGCCAGGCTGGAGGAGCAGACTAGAGTTGGGTAGGCTAACTCCAGCCCCTGGCCCCTCAGCTCCGTGGCTGTTTAGTTTGCTCTGGCAGCAAGTCCTTGTTCTGAAGGTCTGGCAGGAGGGCAGGAAGGGGTTGCTAGATTTGCCTCTCAGCTCAGAGACAGACCATACATCTGCTTCCTCCTCATCCCGTTCTATGCCTGGCCAGGCGTGTGCAGGCCGGGGCTGTATTCCTTCCTATCTACTGATATTAATTGAATTTCTCTGTGCTGCTGCCTCTCTTTGCTTCTGTCATTTTTCTCACTCGTCCTCTGATAGGACTGACCTTGGCAGTTCTCTGGTCTTCCTACCCCCCACCTGGCCTCCCATGTGGGCCCTACTGGCTGGCTTTCATTATTTATGGCTTAGCGCATCCACTTTATCTGCTTTTCCTTTTAGTATTGACATTAGGAAAATGATATACCGAATTGCCTGCGAAGACTGAAGCTATGAGACTGGAATTGGACAAGAAAGCAAGTAAAACACAGGCATTGAAATAGAAAGTGAGGAGAACGAGGAAACTAATGAAAAATAGATAATAAAGTCATATCAGGCTATAAATACAAGAATATGACGCTCCTGCAGGTGATCTTTGGGTCCTACTGAGGGTCTTCCACTTCTTCCTAGGGAGACAGGGAGGGGCTCCCTGAGGAAGACAGGCTGAGGCGGTTTCTTCTCCCTGACTGGGATTGCTCTTGAAGCCTGCGGGCGGTGATCCTGAACCTATGTATCCTTGGTTCCCAGGGAGGCCCAGGAGGGTGGGAAGGAATCAGCACAAATCAACCGCCACTCCTGAAAATGGTCGTGTAATCACCGTGTCTCTATAGGGTGGTCAGGGTTGAAACTTCCTGCCCTGGAAGCCTGCTCTGGCTTTTTCCTGCCCTGGGGCGCATTCCTGCGCACCCACTCTGTCTACCCATCCAAACCTAGGCTGGCGCCCTGTCCTCAGGTGGGTGAGCTAGCTCCCCATCACCCTAGCCAATTGGGTGCTACTGATCCCAGCCTCACCCTCACCCCCTATCAGTTGCAGGTGTTCTGTCCTCCCAGCTTGCAGAAACAGCGAGCCTGGAAGCTCCCTGTTGTGGGAGGCCTGACCCCTCCCCTCCAACACACACACACACACACACACACACACACCCTCAGCTCAGGGTGGACTAGAGCCTCAGGACCACTCTTGCTGATCCGAAGCATGCGTTCTAGAGAGGAAAAAAATCTAGACAGTTTACAGCTGGTGTGTGTGTGTGTGTGTGTGTGTGTGTGTGTGTGAGAGAGAGAGAGAGAGAGAGAGAGAGAGAGAGAGAGAGAGAGAGAGAGAGAGAGAGGTGTGTCTTTAGATCTTTGTGGTCTCTATAATTTGACATCTGTTTAAAGAGAATACCAGGACTTTCAGAATAAGTTTTTGCAGAAAATTGAGCACCCTGGCAGGACCTGCGCAAAAGAACCCCCGCCATCCCCCTTACACCCGACCCCTCCATCTTTTGGTTTTCTTGAGGTCTTCCCAGAGGCAAAAATGTTTTGCAAGGACGTCTAAAAACAGAATGGCTTCCTAAGAGGCGCCAACTTGAGGTTAATAAATTATCCCCTTTAGAAATAAAAAAAATGAAATGGGCATTAAGCACACACTGATTAGATTGAGTTTCAGCCTTCTAGAAAGTTCGTTAGATGTTGGTATCTGGGCAGAAACAAGTCTTTCTTTTCCTTAGAAAAACTCATCAGGGAAACCGCAGCAGCTCGTTTATTTCATTTTGTTTATTTGTTCAAAAAAGGATTGTGTAAGATCGTTTTTTAAATTCCTTCAGGTTAGGGTTTGGATCACTGTCGTGACCCAGTGAACTAATATGTATATATTCTGTGGTCGAAATTCACGGGAAATTTCTACTCATCTGCACACCAAACTTCTTGGTGTGGTCTCCAAAATGGGCTGGGGCCTGGTCTGCAGGCGGCACGTAGCCGAGGTTGTTCCGGGAGGAGAACCGGATGAAGAAGCACCCGCTGGCTTGGGAGTGTGTGGTGGGGGTGGGGGAAGGCTAGGTAGGAGAGGGTAGGGAAGCCTTGGACCAGGTTTGGAGGGGAGACCCAGGGCGGTGGGGAGTGCTGAGACCGCGGGGAAAGGGGAGGCCGCGGACAGCTGCTTCTCTTGGTCCTGGAAACCAAAACTTTCTACGAAGAGAGACCAGAAAATAGCCAAGATTTTCAGTGCCTATGCTCCTAGCTGAGACCCCCGACAATCAACTTGAAACCGCAGGGCGGCGAGGGGTCCTCAGGTCTTTGGCGGTGCAACTGCGAGGCAGCGGAGCCGGCGCCTGGGCTTGGGTCGCAGCTCTGCGTCCCCGCCGCAGACGCCTTGCTGGCCACCGCCACACCCGGGTAGGGCTTCGCGGCTCCAACCCGCGAATGTTAGCCCCGGACAACGCTTCTGGAGGCCCTTCCTTTAAAAATAAGTTTTAATTTTCCATCAAATCTTGTACCCGTGTGCTCTTCACTGAATGACTCTTAACCAGCGCCGTGGAGAAGCACAAACATGGTTTCTCTCATCTTTCTTGACGTTTTTCACCCCCCTCCAACCATGGAGTCTCGGTTTTCTAAACAATTAAGTTATATATTCAACAGGAATATTCGATTCCGAATACATCGGGACTAAAGACTGATGCAAAAGGTCTGAGGCTGGAAGAAAATATTTAGTGCTTGCCTGCAGGTTCTGTCACCCATCATCTGCTCGGAAAGCGCTCGTATCTTTCAGCGTGTCCGGCTCTTATGATTGCAAATGGCCCTGTTTTCAAATGGAAATAAGACTTGCAAACTGATTATGTGTATTGAATCGGAATCACTCCCTGGATCCTCTTGTTTAAAATGTATTGAAAAAAGGATGATGGCTGCAGACCTCGGTAACCAGCTCCCTCTCTTCTCAGGGAGGTCGATCTATTTTGCAACTTTTTGCCATTTGAACATGTTTCAGCTAGACAATTACGTGGCCATTGTGTTACTGGCCCAGCGCAAAGACTTGGTACACACACTGCCTCCCAGCAGGCTCCCTTGTGCCCCCACCCCCACCCCACTAGCATCACATTTCTGAAACACCACACACACCACACAGTTTCCTCCACTCCACCACAACATTTTGCCCCAAAGACCAGCTAATAACCAACCCGACTCAACAGTCACAAACCCCAGCAGAATCCTACACACTTTCTTTCACCAGGCACAGTTGATTCTCCTCCTCCAGCCCTCCCCTCCCTTGTCTCTCTTCTGTCTTACCTACGAGCTGAACCACATACACACAAGCCCCCAGCTTCCACAGATACCCAACCAACAAAATCTAAGTATTCAGCTATGACAAGAATATTCAACAACTCATTTTGGGTTGGTGTGGAATTGAAGTTAGAACACAGTTTATACAGGAAAGTTAACGTCAACTGTTAGGGGTGCATGGAGGTGCTTGTACACTAGCATAGGTCTCAAAGATTTTCTCTTTACCCCATCCAGCGCTAGATTATGGCTGTGGGTGGGTTGACTTTTTGTTAAATATTCCCAAAGTTTCTCCTGTTTGATTTCAGTATGAAGTCAGTGTGACAGGCAGAAAGCTATCTGAGTTTCACCTACTTCGTGAGTTGTAGATATGATACACTGCAACACTTCCAAAGTTCACCATACCCAAGCCTCGGCCTCAGCAGCCCTGCCTGGGAGTGGTAATCAACGTATCAGTCAATACTGCAGGATGATGAGTAGTAATGAACTATAATAGTTACAACTTCTAGCCTTGGCTAGAGGCATAGATGTGTGCTCTGTGGTACGCCTGTGGTGCAAGGGTTGCAATTCTTTCTCAAGCACACTCAGAAGGGAAGGAAGAAGCCGTCATGCCCAACTCGCGCCTCCTCCCTTAGTCCCCACCCAGAAAACTGCCTCGCAGACCTCCAGGCACCGTCGAGTGGCCGGATGGGGAAGGAGGGTGTGGGGGGAGGTTAATCCTCTAAGGCTTCAGAGTTTCCTCCGACAGAGCTTGTTAAGCTCCAAGTCTGTTTAGAAACCTGGCGCTCTGGGGGCAACTGCAGGGACTCTAACTGTGCGGTGGTGTCTCTATACACAGGCACAGCCAGATGTGTTAAACTATTGACCTGGTTCCCTAGGTTAGAACAGAGCGAGCAGCTAGCTCAGGGGTACCAGTTCTCAGTCCTCTTCGTGTCATTACGGTAATTCCCAGGTTTACATCTGCGCGCGCGCACTCCGCTCTCTGTGTTTCGGGAGATCAGATAAATCGGTAGCACGCGGACCAAATAAACCCTTGTTTTCCTAGAGCTTTGAACACCTTTAAGCAGAAGTATTGAGAGGAAGATACTAGACAATGTAGAGACTCTGCCTTTCTCTGTGATTTTCCACAGAATGGCTCCAGGGTATAGCGACTAGGGAAGCCATCCAAGGACACTGTTCATGGCCTGAGATCTTTGATTTTGTAGAAATGACACTATCAACAATCACCACATATCCTAGAAATGCAATGCTTAACACTGTACTCACACCCTGGTGTTAACTGACAATTCTATCTAGCAGTCAAAGGCAGGAGCCCCAGAAATGTATAAAATGGGGGGATGGAGGAGGAAAAGTTTGTCTTTTTCTTGTTGTAAGACTACACTCAGACTTGCCCTC